AGATGCTGGAGACATAGTCGATATATTCAGGGGTGTTTAGGGAGAATCAACATGGTAAACCACAGATGACTGTGGGGATAAGATAAGCAGCATCCTAACATCCACTGCCTACCCTGACCAGCACTCTCTTGCCTGTAAAGGGAGCATAAGACCACTTGCTCAGTGTAGACACCCACATTTAGTCAATGAAGTCTGCCCTGAGTGATTTGGCAAGTGTGAAAAGCTGGGTGAGATGAGTCTCTCATGCCATGTTACTTTAACAGCCAAAAGGATGAAACCATGAATTTTATCCATCATGGTTTTCACTAGCCTATTTTTAGCTAGTTTCATTATTTTAAGTTGCTTTCGTGAACATCCAGAGACTCCACAGCAAGCAATAGTTCTGTCCTCATTCTCCTGGGCTTTCCATATAACAAGTATGGTGAGAAGACTTGGTCAAAGTGCATGTTTCAGTTTGCTGAATTTGCTCAGTTGGATGGATCTTGCATACTGAAGGGAGTTAGAACTTCAGGCTTCATTTTTGAGTGTAAATTGGAAAGCTGCTGTGGAAACTTTTTCATGCTGTCCAATGCTCTAATTTAGCCCAAATTAATTAAATTAGTAACAAAAAGTGGGCTTTAGCTCACCTAGCTGTGTGAAAGTTAGCTGCCTACATCTAAACAGAGTATTTACAGCCTCTCTCTTCTGTCTTACAGCAGAGAGAAATAGGCACTTTAGAGGGAAACTCCTTCTCAGACAACTTTATTTGGGTGGGATGAATCACCATGCGGAAATTCTATTGTCTCTGTTGACTATAGAAGGAACATAGATAAGCACATTAGACATGCGCTGCTGTGTCTCAGATAAGTTGATTTCCTCCGTCCTTCTCTACTTAACTACTTTAAATCAGTAAACAGATCAGACACATAATGACACATCAGTGGACAGTCAGGAATGTTGAAAGAGTTTCACAAAAGCTGATGGTGTCCTTCATTCCCCAAACAAAATCATCAGGAACAGGTGCAAGGTATTAAATAAAACAGTTGTTATTGTGTGTACTCAGTTTTGCATCTGTTATTGTATTTTGCAGGAACAAAATCTACTAGTGCCATTGACTTCAAGAGTAAAAACGTTCCTGATGACAAGGAGAAAGAAGACGGAGAAAATGAGGCGTTGGATTTTTTCAAAGAGGAGAAGACACTTGACTTAATCTCACAGCTTTCATCAGTGGAAAATGCCAAAAAAGGGGAAAAAAAAGAAGAGGAAGAGGAGGAAGAAGAGGAAGAAGATTTAGATCCTCTTGGTATAATCAGGTACAGCTGATAGTGCCTTTGTTATTTAGTTTTTAGCCTATTTTTCTAAACAAATAAGGCTGTTTATGTCACTGCCCCCTCATCCCAACATTTTATAACATTGACCACTTTCAGCTGAATTTCACAAAGGAGAGGCCTCTGCATTTCATGAAGGAGGTGCCTCAGTAGAGGGGAGAGACTTTGTAGTTCCTCTTTAGTGCGTTCCTCAGGAAATCCAAGTGACAGGGACGTTGTGAATGCCTTGATAACAGTGTCAGCTACAGTAGGCACTTTACTGGACACTGCAGGGTCCCACCACAAAATATGAAGTCACCAGGGTCCCTTGGATGTGCCACTCTGGAGTACACTGGTGTTTACAGTGCCTGGAACTGCTTCTGAGCTCACTTGTGTCTGCAAGGAGGTAAAGTTATAGCAGCGTAAAGACTAAAAGAGACAACATTTCAATCATGATGTTCACAAATAGGCTTTTCTTTCCTTCTTCCCTTATCTGAAGGTGTCCCATGCTAAATGCCGCTAAGGCATAAGCAATAACAGCTTGAGAAACAACTGAATCAAAGCTTGCTGATGTTAGTATCTGGGTTTGCTTACCTGTCCAATAATTTTCAGACAGTTATTTTCTTCACTTTAAGGTGGAATTTCTCACTTAATTCCCAAAACCATTTCTAACTACTGAAGCCTGGAAGCAAATTTAGTTTCTCAGTGGCTGGGATCATGAGTAGTGACTACTTTTTTTAGGGTGTCTCAGGCTTTAGATGCCCAAGTAGCAAAGGCTTAGCTGTTCTTGATCTTCAGTAACCACTGACTGACTCAACTGAATTGTTTCAGCCACCCACAGTCTTGGGCCCAGACAGTGCTTTGAATGTTCTTTGTCTTGGGCCCAGACAGTGCTTTCAAAAGGCTTCTTGATACCAATAGGCAGTAACTGATAGTAACAAGCCAGAGCCCTCTCTTGGTGTTTCCCAATTACCTTGAATCCTTTCCAAGGGGATCTTTCACTGCAGGCTCTAAGCCGGAATCTCCCACACTAAGTCCGGTCAACTACAATGACTAATACTGGAAGCGCCATTTGGACTTCGCTCCTGCTATTATAATCATATGTAATTGTTGATATCCAGATATCGTCCTTTTTCCTTGAAGTATTTAATCCTTTACATATCACCAGAAAACTTTAAATATTATTCTTTTGACAAAGCACATGCTTAATTACTCAGCATCAAAATTATTCTTTTGTTGAAGAAGAGTTTAAAAAAGTTAAATAACTATTTACATTGAGAAGTTAGATAAAGCAGTACTTCCCACAAAGTGGTCCTTAGTTGGTAAGTTTACAAAAGAAGCTGTCCTTTTTTGGATAGGAAAATGATCTATTGGGTTCGCAAATGCAATGTTGTATTTTCCGAGTTAAAACAAGTATAAGCTGTAAAGAACTTGCTGTGCTAAAACAAGCAAGAAGTTTGCTTTTCTGCTCTGCACAGTTTGACATAGCATTTGAAAGTCTTGATTTTTTTAGTCTTTTAGTGCAAGGATGACAAGATCTGGCATTTAAACCTCATTTAGTCTATTGCTTCCATTCCTTTCAAGAACAGAATTCTTACTGAATCAGAATAACTTCATTTATGTAGGAAGTATGGCCTTTACTGGTACAGAGCTACAGCATGACATGCTATGCAGTCAGATGTTTTTCACTCTAAACCAGTGGTTGGCTATCTATTAAAAAAACCTCTCCATATGTATTTATTATTATTTTTATAAATCTCACATGTAGAGTGTCGAGGCAGAAAAATGAAAGTGGAAATGAGAATCTGATTTTACATTGTCTCTCTTCTTCTGTAACTCACCCTGCTTGCATGGAAGATATTTTCAATTCACACCAATGGAGATCAGATCGGTCAAAAGCATCGTATCCCAGTTTTATGCCATCTAGTAATAGGTGTCTAGGTAAGAGGCCAAAGGCAGGAGCTTAGCTGTCAGTGGATGGACGTTTCTTGGGTGACCATTTTAGGGTGTCTTCTATGCCCGTTAAAATGTTAGGTGCTTACGTGCTTTAAAGAGGGAGCTTGCAGGCCTCACAGCTTTAGTGCTTCAGATGTGCTTGAAGTTACTTTGGAGTGGGGATGAATAAAAAAATAGATGATGCAGGCTGGATAAATATGTTTAGTAGTAAACTGCTCCCTAATGCATAGTAAATTCAGGTTAAAAAAAAAAAAATCCACGATCCTTTCCCCTGTGAAAAACCATTGAAAAGATGTAAAGTCAGCACTGAAACAAGCCAGTCTATTCCAAGCAGTATCGGTGGCCAGGGTGCTTTGAGCAGCAGAGCTCTGACCTAAATTGAATCATGTGTTTGGCATAATCTTACAGGTTTTTTTCTTTCTGGATGAGGATGAAACTGCTCCAGTAGCACAGGCCTCCATATGTTGTCAGCACGCTTCATTTGGTAACAACTTTTCCTCCAGGGCCAGAAGGCTGTGACTTGGATTTGGCCCAGCACTGCTGCTGTGCTGGTGAACCACCAGATATTCAGTTAAATGTTCTGGCCTTAGGGGTAAAATGCTAAACTAGGGTCTTTTTTTCTGGTTTTGTATTGCTGGTGGTCATCCAGGTGGAAGCTCATAATGGTCTGGTTCCTTTTGTCTGGAGGAGACACCCCAGTTGTGCCGATTCTCTTCCTCGCATTCAAGGCTGTGTCTGAGTTGCTCTTTCATGTCTGGTGAGCAACTCACTTGCCAATTCTGCTCTTCAGATTTTGTGGGTATGATGGTCTGCAAACTTTGTGTTTCTCTGCTATATGATTCTCATGCCCAAAAGCTTGCTTTCTGTGTTAGCAGGGTGATCTTGGGCCATGTCTGGGATTCTTAACAACAGAAAGTCTGGGTTTTTTCTTGTCTAAATCAGGGACGTTTCAAAAACCCTAATACATATTTCTGATGAAGTTTTCAGCTTTTTACACCCCTCCTCCTTTTTTTTTTTTTCCCCAGGCCTAGTTCTTCCTAGAATAAGAAGTGCTCAAAATTAGGTTACATTTGTGGGGTGCATTGTTGAAATTCATTTGAAATATGTTTTCGAGGGGTATATCTTCTTTTTTCTCACTGCCCTTCTTAATAGTTTGGAGTATTGTTATTCCAGTGTGTTGTCACCAGTTGCTCTGCAAGTTTTCCTGGACATTTGTAGAAAACTTTTCAGCTTTGGGCAGAATATACAGGTCCTGTAAGAACAAGCACTCCTAATACTGAGTAAGATGGTCCTTTGACATCAGCTGTGCGGCAGGGAATGAATATAGTGTACTCGCTTTTGTAGCAGTGGCATATTTCTAGCTCTATTTCATTTTTCTTGGCAGTGTAAGTGTACAGTGGCTTGTAAGTCACAAGGCTCTCATAGCCAAACTATCTTTTTTAAAGTTAGCATCTCTTTTTTTCTTTTTCTTTTTTTCTGGTAAGCCACAAATATTAGAAGATCCCTTTGTTAAAATGTTTTAATTCCTTTGTAAGTGTGAAATCAGATATGTATTTTACTCCACATTGTAGGGACAATATTAGGTACATTGACTTATTTTTGTCTCTATTGTTCTCCTTAAAGTGAGCGCAATACCGCTCTTTATCACTCTTCTCTAAATCCATCTATCTCAACGTTTGCAGAAACATATATTTAAGTGCTCTGTAGGCTACCATGGTGCTTTGACAATATACCTGAGTTTTTAGAGGTGCAGTATCTTTTAAGACTGCTTTTAAAGATCTTTTAAAGGATTTTCCTGGTAAATTACAAAATATTACTGTGTGGCTAGTCACAATTGCAGGGGTTTCTCCAGCTGGAATGCCTTTAGGAATGAAAGCAGCAAGAATACTAGATCCGAAAGAAGCTAATCCTGTGGAGGGAAAGGCATGGAAGACAGCCACAAGATGGAGGACCTCTTCACTCGCAGCTAGGATATTCTTGATGATACTGCTGAAAAATCTGCAATGGAAAAAGGTGTAATTTGCCAGTGGTTTGAGAACAGATTTGCATGGAGTGAAGAGAGACGTGTGAAGCAGGAATCCTGAGCAGCAGTCAGCTCAGCCGTGCCAGGGCACATTGGTTGAGGCTGACTGGGCAGTATCTGGCCATGTTTATGCCGTTACATTCCCCTGTACTCCAGATTACATTTGCTACATCCAGAATGCCCACTGGAAATGACTACTGGCCTGTGCTGCCTCGTGGGCAGTGATTAGGATGGTTTAGGAGAAGGCAAGTTGTCCCATGCCAGGAGAGCACCAGGGACTGTCCTAACAGTTGAATTGTTGAACTGAGCTCCTGTGCTCAGGCCCAGGGTGTGAAGGAGTTGATAAAAAAAATTGTATGGCCCTGAACTCTTCTACTCACTTTCTGCCTGCTGCTCTATTTGCTCCCACTTTGCCCTCAGGGTTCCTTAGGTTTTGCTTTCTGTAGGGAATTCAGGCAACCGACTATGGATTTTTTTACTTGATCCAAGCAGGATCAAGTTAGGCATTTCTAGCTCTGAATCTTAAAACAATTTAAAAAACACGTCACAGTAACTGAATTGGGTTTTGTCTTCTCCCTCTGTGGATGAACTATGCAGTTTTATTGTTTGTAGGTTGAAGCCAAGGGCTTTAGCATCTCTCTCCTCTCACTTTATAGTTAAAACAACTGACTTCAGTACTTCTATTCAGCTTATGCCAATAAACCTGAGACAGCAGCTGATTAAAATGACTCAGAACCAGCTCCTCTGAACAAAGCAGCAACAATTTTGCGAAAGGAGCGTGACTACTTCATGGGTTAAAGCATGCAGCAGCCCCGTGCATGCATTTCTTCAGTAGCAATTAACTTCTGAGGTAATATATGCTCACCAGCTTTGGAGAACCCACCTTTTCCTGTGCTTTCCTTTCCTGCCTCCATCAGCTCTCCGCAGCCCTCGCAGGAGCCTTTCCTCCGCATGCAGTTTCCTCCCTTCCGTCCTTTTTCCTTTGCCTCCTTAAATCTTTCAGTGACAGCATATCCTCCCTCAGCCC